AGGTGGAGGTTGCAGTGAGCCAAGATCATACCACTGCACTCCAGCCTGGGTGATAGAGTGAGACCCTGTCTCAAAAAAAAAAACAAAAAACAGATAAGCATAAAGAATAAAACATCACCCGTGATCCTATTACCTAGAGATAATCACTGGTAACATTTGTTGTATTTTTTCTTTTAATAGAGTTGGGGGTCTCACTATGTTGGTCAGGCTGGTCTTGAACTCCTGGCTCAAGCAATCTGCCCTGCCTCAGCCTCCCAAAGTGCTGGGATTACAAGTGTGAGCCACTGTGGCTGGCCTGTTGTATTTCTTTCCATGTATATATATTTTTAAAAGGTAGATAATACCATGCATGCTTTTCTTTTTTTTTGAGATGGAGTCTTGCTCTGTCACCCAGGCTGGAGTACAATGGCACAATCTCGCTCACTGCAACCTCTGCCTCCCGGGTTCAAGTGATTCTCTTGCCTCAGCCTCCCCAGCAGCTGGGACTACAGGTGCGTGCCACCACACCCGGCTAATTTTTGTATTTTTAGTAGAGATGGGGTTTCAGCATGTTGGCCGAGCCTGTCTCGAACTCCTGACCTCAAATGATCCGCCTGCCTCAGCCTCCTAAAGTGCTGGGATTACAGGCATGAGCCACCACACCCGTCCTCATGCATGCATGCATTTTCATAACTTGCTTTTATTTAATAGACCATAGATAAACTTAACAGATTATACATTTTCATGTTAATAATTACATTTCTGGGCTGGGCGCAGTGGCTCACGCCTCACTTTGGGAGGCTGAGGCGGGTGGATCACAAGGTCAGGAGATCAAAGCCATCCTGGCTAACACGGTGAAACCCTGTCTTTGCTAAAAATACAAAAAATTAGCCGGGCATGGTGACGGGCGCCTGTAGTCCCAGCTACTCGGGAGGCTGAGGCGGCAGAATCGCTTGAACCCAGGAGGCGGAGGTTGCAGTGAGCCGAGATTGCGCCACTGCACTCCAGCCTGGGCGACAGAGTGAGTCTCCACCTCAAAAAAAAAGGAAAAAAGAAATACATTTCTGTACTTTATAACGTTGTTGTTCTAAGATAGCATCTCTCTGTGGCTCAGGCTTGAGTGCGGTGGTGCAATCTCAGCTTACTGCAACCTCTGCCTCCCAGGCTCAAGTCATTCTCCCACCTCAGCCTCTTCAGTAGCTGGGACTGCAGGTGCACACCACCATACTTGGCTAATTGTTTGTATTTTTTTGTAAAAACAGAGTCTTACCATGTTGAGGCTGGTCTCGAACTCCTGGGTTGAAGCAATCCTCCTGCTTCAGCCTCCCAAAGTGCTGGGATTCCAGGTGTGAGCCACTTTACCTAGCCTGTAACATTGTTTTCAATGGTATTTTCCATCAAACAAATATACTATAATTGATTTGCTTAATTCCATTTAGCACAGAAGTAGAAGGGCTTTTGTTTGTTTTTTAATATATAGACAGGGTGCCACTGTGTTGCCCAGGCTGGTCTCGAACTCCTAGCCTCAAGTGATCCTCCTGCCTTGGCCTCCCAAAGTGCTGGGATTACAGGCTTGAGACACCACACCCTGCCAGAAGTTGAAGTTGTTTTTTTTATTTTTATTTTTTTATTTATTTTTTTTTTTGGAGACGGAGTCTCGCTCTGTCGCCCAGGCTGGAGTGCAGTGGCCGGATCTCAGCTCACTGCAAGCTCCGCCTCCCGGGTCTACGCCATTCTCCTGCCTCAGCCTCCCGAGTAGCTGGGACTACAGGCGCCCGCCACCTCGCCCGGCTAGTTTTTTGTATTTTTTAGTAGAGACGGGGTTTCACTGTGTTAGCCAGGATGGTCTCGATCTCCTGACCTCGTGATCCGCCCGTCTCGGCCTCCCAAAGTGCTGGGATTACAGGCTTGAGCCACCGCGCCCGGCCAGAAGTTGAAGTTTTTAAGATGGTTGGAGGAAATCGATTAAAAAGAAGGAAAACAAACTGGGCTCAGAATTCATCCAGAAAGATGAATATGAGTCACAGTAAGGAGCCTAGCTGTGGCAGTGATTGAAGAATGAAAAGTGTAAAGAGGGCCAGGCATGGTGGCTCACACGTGTAATCCCAGCACTTTGGGAGGCTGAGGTGGGCAGATCACCTGAGGTCAGGAGTTTGAGACCAGTGTGGCCAATACGGTGAAACCTCATCTCTACTAAAAATACAAAAATTAGCTGGGTGTGGTGGCACGTGCCTGTAATCCCAGCTACTCCAGGGGCTGAGGCAGGAGAATCGCTTGAGCCCAGGAGACAGAGGCTGCAGTAAGCTGAGATCGTGCCACTCACTACACTTCAGCCTGGGCGACAGAGCAGGACTCCATCTCAAAAAAAAAGCGTAAAGACGAGAAATATGATAGGTTTCAAATAATACTGATAGTTATGGAGAAAATTGACTCTTCAATCTCTCAGGAAAATGAGGAAAATTCTGGCTTCCATGGAAGAGGCCATAGAGGATGTCAGTTTTCTATTATAATGAAAAGCTGGAGACAATAAATTTGTACTATGAGTAAAGAGGTGTTTTCTCCTAGGAATATAAGAAGGGGCCCGGGGAGGGGTGGGAAAAAACGAGTCCCAAAGTAGATGAGAAAGTAAGAAAATACATCCCTTCATGCATGCAGAAATGCAAATTGAGTGGTTTGTGAAATACTGTGGTTTATATGTCAAAAACAAACTCTAGAACCAGGCTGCAGATTTTAAATCCTAACTCTCCATTAGCATATAAACTTGAGCAAGTTTATTAATTCCCTTATGAGTAAAATAAGGGGTAATAGTGTACCTGCCTCATACAGTCACTGTGAGGATCACCAAGGTTAATAGATGTAAAGCAGTTAGCAGTGCCTGGTACACAGTAAGACCCAATACACATGAGTAGAATAAACACACCTGTTGGGAGAAGAGGGAGCAGCAATGGAAGTGACAGCGACACTCTTATAGGAGTTAATGTAAAGAGACAAGCTATAGATATGGAGGACTGATGCAGGAATTGATCAATACAAGCGTGTAGTTCACCGAAGTGCATGTACAGAAGTACTCCCCGCCTCACCTCAGCATCCCATATAAAATGATTGATGGACATACAGAATCAAAAAGCATTTTATTTTCTACAGCCTGGGTAGAGAAGCAGGCAGACACAGAATGGAACTAAGCAGTAAGTTCAAAAGCAAGTTAGGGAAGCTTAAAAATTAAGCCCTCAGAACCCAAACCTAATTTCCTTTCTAAATGCCCTAAGAACTCTGGGATTCTGTCTCCTTTTTTGACTCATTGGCCCAGTGGTCCTCAACTAGGAGCAATAACCCCCAACACCCTCCCTACACCCACAGACATTTGGAAATGGCATGGGGCATTTTTTTTGTCGAAATCTTGTGCGTATTCAGTAGGCTGGCATCAGGAATGCTGAATGCCACATAGTCCCACATAATGAGGAATTGTCTGCAGAAATGCTGGTAGCACTCTCATTGAGAAACACTGCGGTGTGAAATTCATATTGTAGGTTTGTCAAGCCAGTATTTTCTAAATTCAGTGCCAAAAAGCAAGCTGTATGCTAAGGATTCTGTGAGAATAGACAGGAAGAGACTTCTTTGTTCCACAGGACATTTTCAGAAAATTCTTACTTTTGTTTGGAATGTCAGAAATTGCTTACAGGACAGGGCCTTAGCTCATGCCTGTAATCTCAGCACTTTGGGAGTCTGAGGCGGGAGGATCACTTGAGCCCATGGGTTCGAGACCAGCCTGGGCAAAATTCGGAGACCCTGCCTCTACAGAAAAAAAAAGATAGCCAGATATGGTAGCTGACTCCTGTAGTAGGCCCAGTTACTTGGGAGGCTGAGCTGGGAGGATTGCTTGAGCCCAGGAGGTTGAAACTGCAGTGAGCTGTGATCACACCACTATACCCCAGCCTGGGTGACAGAGCAAGATCCTCTTTAAAAAAGAAATTGCAAGGCCGGGCACAGTGGCTCACGCCTGTAATCCCTGCACTTTGGGAGGCCGAGGCAGGCGGATCACAAGGTCAGGAGATCAAGACCATCCTGGTTAACACAGTGAAACCCTGTCTCTACTAAAAATAAAAAAAATTAGTCGGGCATGGTGGCGGGTGCCTGTAGTACCAGCTGTTTGGGAGGCTGAGGCAGGAGAATGGTATGAACCCAGGAGGCACAGCTTGCAGTAAGCCAAGATTGCGCCACTGCAATCCAGTGTGGGCGACAGAGCGAGACTCCATCTCAAAAAAAAAAGAAAAAGAAAAAAGAAATTGCAGCCGGGCACAGTGGCTCACGCCTGTAATCTCAGCACTTTGAGAGGCGGAGGTGGGTGGATCACCTGAAGTCAGGAGTTTGAGCCCAGCCTGGCCAGCATGGTGGTGCACGCCTGTAGTCCCAGCTACTCGGGAGGCTGAGACAAGAGAATCATTTGAACCCAGGAGGTGGAGGTTGCAGTGAGCCGAGATCGCACCATCGTACTATAGCCTGTGTGACAAGAGCAAAACTCTGTCTCAAAAAACCAAAAAATAAATAAATAAATAAATTGCTTACAGATTAACTTGCCTAAATTTAAAGGCAAAGAGTCATCTAGGATGTTTCCTTGAGCACAGAAAGCCATTTGAACTGTTCTTTATGTAGGATGTAGAGGATCACTAACGTAGATGCCTTCTCCCCCTTTATCTTCTTCTTTTAGCTAAGCCCAGATGGTAGGGTGTATGTAAGTTTTAGTTGTATCTACTCTGATCTGTTAAGTCCAAATTTGAGAGGATTTTTAAATGACTCTAGAATACAGTCTCATAGGCCAGGTGCAGTGGCTCACACCTGTAATCCCAGCACTTTGGGAGGCCCAGACAGGAGGATCACTTGAGGCCAGGAGTTCGAGACCAGCCTGATCAACATAGTGAGACTGCATTTCCATTAAAAAAAAAAAGAAAGAAAGAAAAGAAATAGCATGAGCACACAATTACCACCTAATATGTTAATCATTTTTATGTCTGTGTTCATCTCAGGAGAGAAACCCTTTATCTGTGAAATCTGTGGCAAAAGCTTCACCAGCCGCCCCAACATGAAGAGACACCGCAGAACTCACACAGGCGAGAAGCCCTATCCATGTGATGTGTGTGGCCAGCGGTTCCGCTTCTCGAATATGCTTAAGGCCCACAAGGAGAAGTGCTTTCGGGTGACCAGCCCCGTGAATGTGCCACCTGCTGTCCAGATCCCACTTACAACTTCCCCAGCCACCCCAGTTCCTTCTGTGGTGAACACACCCACAACCCCAACCCCTCCAATCAATATGAATCCTGTAAGCACTCTTCCCCCTCGGCCCATCCCCCACCCCTTCTCACACCTGCACATCCACCCACACCCTCACCACCCGCACCACCTTCCCATCCCTCCAGTCCCTCACCTCCCCCCACCTCCAGCCCTCTTTAAGAGTGAGCCTTTAAATCATAGAGGCCAGAGTGATGACAGCTTTCTGCGGCACCTGGCAGAGAAGAACAGTTCAGCACAGCATCATTAACATCCGTCTCCTTAGTGTGTTCTCCAGGAGACACGTCCCCATGTGTGAGCGTGCACAGAGGGAGTCAGTGAGCATTTCCTTAGTTCTCAGACTCTCCTCCCGCCTCTACCAAGAGCTTCGCCAGTGTCACTGAATCAACAGATCCAAGGGAATGAACAAGAAGACTACCTTGAGCTCACAGAGGGACTGTCTAATCTAAACCAAGGGAACCACTGAACTAAAGCCCAATTTGCTTGCATTTTCTGATGACTTTTATAAGTTTCAAATACTCAGACTTGTGGAATTTTATAATTTCATATCAGCTGATGAGGTATGCTTGCTTTTATATCCCGGACTTCTCCTCAAAGAGGGGATAGGCCTGGTTTCCTTTGTACTAATCGGGAAGGCTGTGAGATTAATCCAGAGCATTAATTGTATCACTGTGTATGGTAAGGAATTCTTTTCAGCTTTTGGTGCCAGCTACAGAGTTGAGCTGGCCATGATTCACAGTATATCAAGCATTATAGAGAAAGACAAATTTTCTTCGTGTAGCTCTCCTAACGCACTGTTTATTTTACTACAGAAATTATTTTAGAGTTTTTGTATAGACTTCTTTAGTAGTCTGTTTCTAAAATGAAATGTATTTCAATAAGCGGTGTAATTTTTTCAGTGTAGCTGAACCTATGTTGTAAAATAGAAAAAAAATTTTATAATCATCAAAATGTGATTCTTAAAGATGCATATAACTTCTATAATTCAAAGTTATTCTTACATCCGTACAACTCAAAAGGTGCTTCAGAGACTAGATGTATCTGAGAGGGTCTCCACACCAGGTTACTGCAAAAACGAGGTTTTGCTTTCAGGATTTGGCATAAATACTTGGTAGTTTTGACATCTCTGTGTAACACTCAGAGAGGCTCCCTAATGTGCTCCTGTCCTCCGTGTTCTACTTGGCTTCGTTAGTGCATTACATGAAATGATTTGCAGGGGATGGGGCCTTTTCCAGGGAAGTCACCTAAAGCTTCCATGTTTTGAACATTTGAATAAGGCTGTTTGCTGACAGGAGGAGGAAGTAGTGGAGATCGTTTAATCTCAGTCACGTCTGTTTCTCACTTCCCTTAGGAACTGTGTTCATGTTTAGCTTTTTATGGAATGACAAGTTGAAATCTCTCATTTTGAGGTTGCTTTATTTTTCTAGAATTGTTATAAGAAGCTAAAATAGTAAACTTAAAATCATAAACATGATGTTGCTGATAGTGGCTGAGAAATTCAGATGAGAAGGCAAATTGGTTATGAATTTTGAAATATCGATTATATGTGAAATATGGATATGTTCATAACCTTGAGCTATTTTAACACAGTAAATAGTAGTGAGGGAAAACTCCTAAGTTTTACTGCCCTGTCCTCTGCAAATTATGTAATACCAGCATTCTTAGGTGATAAAGAGAGCAGCACCTCTAATACCTTTAGGCAGATTACTTTTTCAAGTTTGGGGAACTTCAAAAGAACGTAATCAACCAGGAGCTTATTATAGGAAAGGCTGAACAGAAGGGCTAGTGTATTGATTACACTTAACTGATCAAATTTATCCAGACTCATTATAGCTTAAAATTTTGTATTTCTTTATCTCAGATAACTGAGTTCCCAGGCTAAATCACTTACCTCCCACCCGCTCTCCAATTTTTTTTTTTTTTTTTTTTTTTAAAGACAAGGTCTCGCTATGTTGCCCAGGCTAGAGTGCAGTGGCTATTCACAGGTGCAACTATAGCACACTACAGCCTCCAACTCTTGGGCTCAAGCAATCCTGCCTCAGCTAACCAAGTAGCTGGGACTACTGGCACACACTACCATGCCCAGTCCATTTTTAAATCTTGAAATTTCTTCATTTTTCTTTCTTCAGGTTCTTAAAATCATTGCCTGAATCAGAATGCTGGCTTTTATTTTTTTTTATTTTTAATGTTAAATGTGCAGATCTGCTTTGAGCACTTTCCTAGCTAATGAGCTCTGTGGTAGGAAAAATGGAACTCTTTCAACTGAGATTAAGTCCGTATTTTTTAAACATCACGCTCTCTATTAGCTTTTTGGTTTAATGTTTCTAAATTTTCTCCTTCTGATTTTGCCTGTCTTGTATAATGAGCATAGGAAACTTTTGGAATGAGGCAGAAAAGTATCTCAAGATATACTTTTCTTCCTGGTTTTGGATGTAAGTTTTAAAAATAGTATTTTTAATATTTGTACACATTCTTTGAGCACCCAGTTATCCAAGCCAATGAGGAAAGTTAATTCCTTGCATTTGACGGTTATATCTTTAGTGGTTGTCTCCCCTCCCTCCACAGTCTCCTTGGCATTCCATGACAAGTTTGTCAACCTACACTTTTATATAGACATATCATTATTTCATGGTCAAGCCTGTAGTATTAAAATGATTTTTTTTAAAGATGTAAATTGTGCTTAATTGGTTATATTGTGTTCTTTTTGTTTTTTTTTTTTTTTTTTGAGGCAGAGTCTTGCTCTCTTGCCCGGGCTGGAGTGCAGTGATGCGATCTTGGCTCACTGCAACCCCCGCCTCCCGGGCTCAAGTGATTCTTCTGCCTCGGCCTCCCGAGTAGCTGGGATTACAGGCATGCGCCACCACGCCCGGCTCAGTTTTGTATTTTTAGTAGAGATGAGGTTTCACCATATTGGCCAGGCTGGTCTTGAATGCCTGACCTTGTGATCCATCCACCTCAGCCTCCCAAAGTGCTGGGATTACAGGCGTGAGCCACCATGCCGGACCGCCTTATTTTGTTCTAAATAAATTTACAGTATTGGGCAGCAATTCTGAATTCTAGACTTGAGACCACAGAATCAACCATTTCATGAGGTTGTACTATAACTATACACTGGAATATTCAGGTAGTCATCTTTGATTTTTCATTCAAGTAAATATAGCCATAAGAAAATATCTGCTATACAGGAAAACCAGTATTAAGCAAATAATCACCACCATCCTTAACAGAAGCAAAAAAAAAAAAAAAAAAAAGATTATTTTTAAAAATTAGCATTGTCATACAGTACAATTCTTAGTGAAATATATTGTGGAACAATTTAGAAACTTCCTTTTTTTCCCCTAGATTAAGGATACTTTCCTTGACTTGAGATTTGTGGTCTTCAGGAAAACTGCTCCGAATATAATGACTCCTCATCAGTATCATATTGCATATGAATAATGAAATGCATTAAGAATATTCACAACATTAATGCTTCTGAATATAAGAACTGCAGGATTAAGCCTTAAATATATATGTGCAACACATTTAACATACTTAAGACTCAAACTCAGGGTTGAAAATTTGGTTGGGGTCCTCTTTGTAAGATAAAAGTTGCATTATGTGGTATGTTCTCTTCCATATATGCTACAGCACCCCATGAATTCTTCAAAACTTTTTACCTACTTGTTATCTGTTTATGAAAAAAATAATTATGGAGAAGTTTGAGTTCTCAGCCCTTATCTGTACATGTCTGTTAAAGACAACAAAGGCCGCATTTAAGCATTATGTAGATAACAAATTGAGGCTGTCTCTCATTACTTAGTTTTACTGTCTTCAAAGGCTTGTATCATTGCTAGGGTTAAGACTTATTTGAGGATGAGTTGGCATTGTATTTTGTGTGTGTGGGTTGGTTGATTTGTGTGTGTGTTTCTTTTTTTTTTTTCTGCTTTCTCTCATAAGATTTATCAGTAAAATATAAACTCTTCCTTAGCCTTAATAAAGGCTGCTGCTTTCTCAAATTGAGTCAGGTAGGCTCATTCTGAGTTAGATTTTTAAATCTGAATGAAGAAAAGACAACAATTTAAAGACATGTGGCTTCATTTCCACATGTATTTGTGACTGGATTCTTCTTTTTAGCAAGCAGGGGAGATCTCCACAAAAAAACTTTACTGTAGTTCAAAGAAGCCTGTGCAAATCAGTTACCTGTACTTTCATAGTCTACCATTTACATTAACTGTTCTAGATTAATGACTGAGCGTGGACATTACCATAGTTACACCATTTTTTTAAAACCACATTGGTTCGAAGTATCCTTTTCTAGTGGTTAGAACTTTCCCTGTAATTTGATTATCCCTCATATACTAACCGAAAGCAAAATGCTCTGATGAGATGCTTATAAACTATGGATTTTTTAATTCTTGAAATTTTTTTTCAGTTTTTATGTTTGTTGAATAGATATGTATGTTTAGTTTCATTATTATTTCACTGGAAGTTTTAAATTTTGAGAAGATGAAGCAGAAATAGAAATCCATTGCAGATATATGTATATTTACACCATCTTGCAGATTTCGGTTAGTAAAACACACAATGATAGGTCAGTTTTAATGTTTAAAAAAAAAAAAAAGAAAACTAAAGTTAGAGAAACCTTTCTGTTTGAGCTACTGTATAGAAAAAACAACTTTTATTGCATTGCTGGTCCACATGATAAATATTTCAATGCTGTTCTAGACTGTATGAGAAGTACTTAATGAAAAAAGGAATACATTACATTTAAGAATTATGTCAGCTAATTACTGTTTTTAAAAAATCAACTCATTTGGAATTCTTCAGACTATAAAATTGAGCAAGTAAAGTTTGAGTTTTAATTTTCCTTTGCCTGAACCAAGATAGGAAATTTCTCAAAAGATTTTTTTTTTTTTTTTTTAGGAATGAAAGGTCATAAGCCATTAGAAATAGTGGCATTGTTATGCAATAACAACACCCTAGCTAACCTGCTTTTGTCATCTGTAGCACTTACAATAAAGAATGATGACCTTCCAACCCTGGACACTACCTCGATAAAGCAAACCAGAGATCCTCTCTACACTTTCTATGGAAGCCATAAAAGTTGCCATCAATATATCCACTTTCATAATTCTATACTTTTATACTTTCTAGACTTTTTTATAGACTTTATGATCAAATCTTTTTGTCTTAGAGGATAGGTTTTGCAAGATTCAAAGGAAAATCAAACTCCTTGGTCGTTCCAGCTTTGAAGCTTTTGCTTCAGTAAATTTGTTTAAAGAACCAGATCACATACCATTTATGAAATTCTTTATTTAAGTCAGAACTACTTTGCAGACATGCATATTTCGAAAACAAACTCTTTCTTGTTCTCTAGATAGAATCTGTATTGTTGTAAGAAACTACTTATAAGGTGGCTTTCTTTCTGCTTTGTTACTCTATGTATTACTCAATAATATATGTATGGTCACATGTTCCTGGAGTTGTTTTATTTCTTTATGACAGATACATGAGTATGCACCTCTTTCTAATCCTCTGACGTCACTGCAGCTTCAGTCTCTCTCACTCTGTTTTTGAGTGCCTTCAAAATGCCAGCATCCTGGAACATTCTTTTCCTGATCTAAATCCTACCTCTATTTCATTATCCATGAATATTGGAATTCACCCATATTCCAGTGGGCTTAACTCTACAAACTAGCTAAAACCTTGGACAAGAATTTTTACTGAATTTCTGTTTTGTTCCTCCATGTCATTTTTAGGTTACATTTTTAACTTTTATTTATATCTTATTTCTTCACATATTACATCTCCCTGTTGAAAGATTTTATCCTTATTTGACTCTTCACCTTCTTTCACCGGAAATTCGACGTTCCTTTAAAATTAAAGGTCATTGAATATGTCTTTTGAACACCTTTTTCTCAACTGAAGTCTTCCTGAATGCCTCCCCTTTCTGATGAAGGGATCCTGAGTGCTGCTGTTGCTCTGCCCTGTTCCCATGTGCCCACTCTCTTCCATACACATTTTGCGAGACTATACTCTTTTAGTCAAATTTATTTAAAATTGCTCTCTGCGTTTCTGCTTTCTCATGGCCCTGTCCCTCAAAAACTTCTGTTTATTTTTTCTAGCTGTCTTCATCTAATTGGTTTAAAACGTATGATGGAGCCATAATATATGAAGGATGTAATGGAAAGGAGGTTGCAGTGTTTTCCATGTAATATGATCGAGCACCTCCGTGATCAGACATTTAGCAATTGGCTAGTCCTTCACAGCCAGAGCGGAAGTTTGTGCTGTGTACAGTTCTTTTTACTCCCTTCCAGTTCTCCAAAACTGGAGAAAAAAAAAAAAAATGAACTCTTTCAAATGAGATTTGATTGCATTTTTTAGGTGAATGAAAGCTTGGAGTTGAGTGTTTGGGCCTTAGCATTTTTCCTTTCTAACTTAAAATCTCATGTCCTTTTCCTTAAAGTTAATAGTACTCAGGTTTTTAAGACTAACTGATAACCACACAAGGTGGGTGTCTAAGAAGGCAGCTGTTAATACATTCTCCATCTTTCCTGTCTGACAACAGACACTATATTATTGGTGAGATAGTGCAAAATTGTGAGAATTGGTTATGTTTGATGATGAATAAATTCAAGATTTTTGAAGGCTTCACTGCTATTTGGGATGGGAAGATGAGTTTACAAAATGAGAAAGGTTTTATGTTACAGAAATCAGTAACAAGGGTTTTTTATTGTGTTAAATACCTTTCACTTCATTTGCCGTGATGTTTCTTCCTCATTATTGATCTAGAAGTTTGCCTCTTGGATGGTAACTAGCTACTTACAGTATCTACTTTAAAATTTGTGGCTTTTCTCTTCAGAGTCCCAGGCCATAAAACAATGGAGAGCTGTACTTGCTTGTCATTTGGAGGAACCATGTCCTTGAGACAGCCTGCTGTCTTGTATGTCTTCAGTAGGAAACTTCTGACACACGCATCCAAGCGAGTTCCTGCCCCTGAGAGTGTTCCCACAGCTTTCCAGTCGCAGGTTACTTTCACACTACGTCAGCTTCTCTGGTGAGATCAGGGATGTTACATATTACTTGAAAATGATTTCATAGGAAGTGAGGATGGGCCAAGAAAAGGGGTGGAAGCTGAATTTTGCTTAACTTCAGAAGGAAATCTGATACTTGCCTTGGCTAGTTCTGATCAACTAAAGAGCCTGTGTCTGTACTGGAGGTGCCAGAGAATCAAGTTGTTTCTGGAATATCCAGCTCCTCTGAATGAACACAGCTTCCTCCCTACCTGTCTTTTACAGGTGAAAAGGGACCATCTGATGAGCATGATAGACTTTAACTCACATCCTGTACAGGACTCAAGACTGTTTCATTGCATTTGAAAGTTGGTGGGAAGTATTTCATTCTGCTAGAACTTCTAACCCTCCTAGAAATATCTTTTCATACTCTATTAATTCATTAGATTAAAAAGAAACAGTGTGACATAATTTTTGTGTTTACTTCTTAAGTTGTCTCCCCAAGAGCATATATGTAGCCTCTGAAAATAGGATGATTTCTTCTCAATCTTCCATAAATTTGAATATGTATTTTATTCGTTTCTTGACATGGGCTGTGTGACTGTTTTCCATCAGCAGTTCTGGCTTTGTCCACAAGGGAGCAATAAAGTACTTTAGCTTTATTCTCAACCTGCTAAAG